TATAGGTAGTTTTTTTTTATTTCTTAATATAGAAATAAAAATTTTTAATAATAAGGGACATTTGAATTATGTCCTCATAAATAATTTAGGGACCTATCTTTAGTTGTTGATTATATTGATAAAAAATTCGTTGTTTGTAGTCATAAGTTGAATTAACAAAGGAAAGGTGTGAGAGCAAACTTCGGCTCTGGGAGCATCTCTTTGATAATTAGGGATTCAGGAAGTTTGTTAAAGGAAAAGACCTTGTGTAGCTCTGCGATATTGATGGAGAGAAAGTCATTATCGCACAATGGAACACTTATTAGAAGAATATTTCTTTCTTCCAGAATATAATTGATAATGGTGTGATCGTCTGAAAGAGGTAACAAGGGTTCCTGGAACCATTTCTTGGGGACTTTTTGAAATTTATACATATCGTGGAGCTCTCTGATTGTTTGCTTTAATTTTTCATCCCTAGGGATATATTGGCCGATATTGAAGGATAAATTTAATTCTGAAATCTTTATTAATAGTTTTGATTTGTTTGTTTGTGAAATGGTAGGTGAAACCCATTGGAAATTCAAGAGAAGTGAAAAGTAAAATTCGTTTTTAAGATGATTGATTAATGTTTGTATATCTTGATTAGTGGTTGTAGAAATTTGTAAATTTAATAGGATAAGAATGTCTTGAATTAAATGAGTATTGTATGGCAAAGGACTCTTGTTTTTGAAAAAGTGGGATGGAAGACATTTGAAATAATACTTCGATCTGAGCTTGTGCACTACAATAGATAGATTATGCAGCGTAGTGTCTAATGGAAAATATTGTTTGAACTCAGGATCTAATTGACTCAGATCAAGTGGTAAGGAGAGTTTAGGAGGAGAAAGGTTAAAGTAAGATTGAGGGATTTTGGTGAAAACTGTAAAAAATCTTCTGACTTCTTTTAATTTGGATCTCAAGTTTTTAAGATCATTTCTTTCTGTAATTGGGAAGTGATAAGAGAGGTTTCTTGGAAGATCCTTGGGATTATCTGGCAATGAAGAAAGGATAGAAAAGTATTTGGTTGGAAAAAGAGAGAATTTGTAGTAGAAATAAAGGGATTTGGCCACTTCTGCTGTGGTACTTCTGTCAATAATGAGTATTCTATGTGGAATTCTAGCTTTGATGTGGGAAGGAACTTCTTTCAGAATTGGAGAAAGGTCTGGTAAAAGTTCTGCAAGTAGTCTTTTACACTTTTGGTTTATTGAGAAATAGTCTAGTTTTTTGCTGTTTCTGGAGAAATAAAAGTAATTGCATCCATACTTTAAGATTTGAGAGAGTAAATTCAGATTAAGGTCAGTGATTTTGATATATTACAAATATGCAATAAATATGCTGGCATTTAGAAGGAGCCTAATCTTATATTTGATTTCTCTATTAAGTTGAGAGACATTTTGTAATTGGACTGGAACTGGAATTCTAGAGCTTCATATTCTCTTTGATGGTTACTTTTGAGATCTTCCGTCTTGTTAAAAAAAAAGAATCTTCCGTCTTTGGCTTCTATTTTGATGAAAATTTCTAGCCGAGGTTTTTGTCTGATGGAACCTTTGAAAGTGCTAGCAATCTTAGAAATCAGCTTAGCTATTTCTTGAGGGTTGTTCTGATTGAGGAGAATTTAGAAGCCCAGTGAATAATAGCATCTTGTTCGCTGGCAAAATCTGGTGAAATATAGTCATCAATCTCATTCAGGTTAATGTTTGAAACGTCATATTCTTTGATGTCAGTGGATGAAAGTAATATATCCTCTTCGTATCTGAATAGTCTGGTCCTTGCTTTCTCTTCTCTCTCATTTTGTAGAGCTCTTCTATCAAATTTGTTCTTGATTATAGGATTTCTGTTGATGGTGTCTTGTTGTTCAATTATAGGTGGCAAGATTGGGGATATAGGTCTCGACATAAGGTTTGCACTAGGGAATAGGATAGTTGTATTTATTATATTAAAAAAGTTAGCCGGATTGTCCGGGTGAGCTGAAATAATGATGCTCTCTCCCTCTTGGTACTGATATGTGCTGATGGTGTTTCCCATTTCTATGTCGTCAAGTATAGGAAAGTTTAGATCTATGGTGGATAAGGTTTGATTGCTAAGGTTCTCAGGTGTAAAAGTTTTGTAAGCGGTAAGGGGTTGATCCTTATTTATAGAAGATTTTGATGGTAAAAGGTTTTCTATTGTCAAACTGGAATCTGATTGGTCAAAAGGGAATGTTTTTTTGATTGGTTCGCTGATCTTATATTTATATGCTTCTGTGTTTGGTATTTTTGTAGCTGTAATTTCTGTCAAAGTAATTTCCACATTCGAAATCATGTTTAAGAATGAAAAGTGAAATGATGGTGTATTTGATTGATGAGTAATTTTAAGAGTATATGTTTTTTTGCCTCCTGCAGTACTTCTGATAACATCTGTTCAGTTCCATGGAACATGTTTGGAATAGTTCCATCCTTTGTTTAGAACTATTTGAAGGATTGAGTTCCTAAGACCTTCATTTTTCTTGAAGATTATCTGGAATGTATTTTGATATTCCATGAATTTATCAAGATGTTTGGTTAATTTTTTCTTGGGGACCATTGCACGGATAGAAAGACTTTTTTTGTCTTGGCTGGGAAAAAATTTGATTTAAATGACAGAGAGATTTTCTGATTTTTTTAGTAAGATTGAAGGTAGGAATAAGCCATCTGGATGGATGGGAGGAATTGGTGGTAATGATTTTGCCTTGAGGATCCTGATAGACAATAGACACATGCTGTTTGCCTCTTTCTATTAAGACCACATCTAGGAGGGCATATTGTGTGGGTGATAGTCCTATATTGTTAACCGATGGTATTGTTGTTAGTGGTAAATGTTGGTTCGATTGGTTGAAAAGGGGTGTTGTTATTGTTGGGAAAGATTTGGGTGTAATGTTGTTAAACATTATTAAAGATTGGCTTTATATTTGATTATATTTTTGAATGTGTTGTTTGTTAAGTTCAATATATTGATATAAACATGGTTGTTTTTGTGATTGTTAAGTATACAAGCTTTGCGAAGTCATATTTGTTTATTGATTTGTTTATAGAAACATGTGTAACACATGTTTGGTGTAGGATATAAATCACAAACTACACGTATCAAATTGAATTGCGTACAACACATATTCAGCTTGTTGTTGTTTATGTTGTTATAGATTTGGTATTGATGTGTTCACGTCACTTGAATTTTTATAGAGGTAAGCTGTTTATAGTTTTTTAGCTACTGGTTTGTACATTAAGAAATTTTTTGACTCTGTCCAGTTGATAGGGAGCTTTGAACCCTTCCAACTCTCAAGATGGTAACAAGGTTGTCTAATTTATCGAATAAAATCTGGCCTCCTGAGAGTTCTTGCAGTGCCTAGAAAGGTATTTAACCTGATACTGGCCTGGCTATAAGGTTGGCAGTGGGTTTGGCTCCTTGAGACCTAACTGTGAATCAGAAAGTTTGCTTCCTTATCCTCCTGAACAAGAAGCTATCTGTTTTCCTTTTCTATAAATAATAAAGATATTATATATTAGCTTTATAATAATATATACCTTGATTATACTGATAACTTCTTTTTGGTTTCTGGATATGTTTTAATAATTATGTGAAGAGACTTTTTAGTTTTTGAAAAAGTACTTCCTAAAAAGAAAATTTGGGATGGATAGGAAAGAGTTTTTATAATTTTTAAATTCTATTATCAACTGCCATCCATTATTTAAAGTGTTTCTAGTATAAATAAAGGGAATAAGTGAATATATGGATAAGTGAGCAATCAATTAAAACCAGAAAACCTACCGGTGGTTATAGCTTCCTATGAGAGAAATAAATCCTGCCTCAGCATCGATCAGAAATTGAAAAACCCATATTTGTTGCCACGAAATATTAATAGACAGCTAAAACCATTCCGACAGTGCCATGTTTCCCAGATCTAGACCTGAACGAACAAACGAAGAGAAAGAATAGATGAATAAATAGATTAGCGATTTAGATCCTGCCATAACATCGATCAAGAATTGAAGAACCCGTACCTGTTACTACAAATATTAACAGATCGCTGAAAACATTCTAAATGGTGCCATGTTTCCTGAATTTAGACCTGAGCAAAGGATATGAGCAAATGAAGAGAAAGGAAAGAGATGGATAAAAAACGGATTAAATAATAAATAAAAAACTAAGTGAATAGATAAATAATAGATGAGTGATTTAGACCCTCTTCAGCATTGATTAAGAATTGAAGAACCCATACCTGTTGCCATGAAATATTGACAGATTGCTGAAACCATTCCAATGGTGCCATGTTTCCCGAATCTAGACCTAAGTGAAGAATATGGATAAATGAGGAGAAAGAAAAGAGATAGGGGAAAAATGGATTGAATGGTGAATAAAGATAAGTGAATAGATAAATAAATAGATGAGTGATCTAAACCCCGCCTCAGCATCAATCAAGAATTGAAGAACCTGTATCTGTTGCCACGAAATATTTAGATCGCTGAAACTATTCCGAACAGTGTCATGTTTTCTGAATCTAGACCTAAAAACCCATACCTGTTGTCATGAAATATTCAGATCACTGAACCATTCTTAATGATGCCATGTTTCTTGAATCTAGACCAGAGCGAAGAATATGGACAAACGAAGAGAAAAGAAAGAAATAAGGGAAAAACAGATTTAATGGTAAATTAAGAAGGTTCATTAAGAAAAATGTGTATATTAAATAATTTCATGTAATATATTTTCTGTATAGGAAAATAATAAACATTTCGATTTTTATAGTAATTAAATGCTCTGACAAAACTTTATTGGAATAATAAATTATGCATGGACAAGCAGACCATGATGTACTTATATAAATAAGAGCTTTGGTAATTTATATTCGTATATGCTATATACATTTGATATACAGTACTTATTTTTACCTGTTAAGAAATAACACTTATTGATTTTAGGTTATCAAAATAGATGTGTAAGCAAGTGACAGATGAACGGATAGGTGAGTGATCGAATGGCTCAAATGAATTGGTAGAGGAATAGGTAGGTAGGAGAATAGATAAGTGAGATATATTTAAATAAGGGAATGTCTAAATGGGTAGATGCATAAGCGGGGTATATAAGAGATAGGCAAACGAATGAAATAATCAAATGAGTAAATGGAGGGATAAATGAGCGATTCAACAGATAACTTGAGAACAAAAACATAAACATATAAACATGAAATTTTAGCAAATTTATATTTTTTATTAAACATTAAAAAAAAGTTATACAAACTAAAATAGAATTTTTTTATTCATCTTTGCTATCTTTATTATTATTGAATTCTATTTCTGTTGCCGATTCATCATCTAAATGTACTACTTCTTCTTCTCTTTTTTGTTTCTCATCTGATTCATCCGATTCATATAGAAAAAAAATGATCTTGTGAGCCATCATCAGTATTGGAAATGCCACACTTTAGAAAAAATTTTATAACCATTTGACTTGGTATCTCTTCCCAAGCTTGGAGAATCCATTCGCATATGAGTTTGTAAGGTGGTTTTTTTAAATTTCTATCTTTAGTCAAAGTAACCTCATTCATTATCCACGTATTCCACTTTTTTCGAAGATTATCTTTAAAAGGTTTATTTAAGCACACATCGAGTGGTTGTACTATAGATGTAAGACCCCCGGGAATAATTGCTGGTATACAATTCAATTCTTTATATGTATTTTTGACAGATTCAGTTTTGTGTCCCTCAAAAGAGTCTAAAACCAATAAATTTTTTTTTCTTAATAAACCTCCAGTTCGATAATGCCAATTTTATTTAACAAAACTTGTATTAATTTTTCATTCATCCAATTTTTTTCACTTATTTCAACAATAATGCCTTGAGGTAAATCTTTAGGAAGATATTTGCTTTTAAAAATTACCATTGGTAAAAGCTTAGTATGCAAGTAAACCGGTTTTTTTCATTTCCCATTGTTTTGATTTGTATAGTTTTTGCATCCTTTTGGTTAACCATTAAGTTTGTTATCATATCGAAATATACAAGTGTTTTATCCATATTGCCAATTTGATCCATAGTATAGTTGTACAATCTTCTTTGTTTTATAATAAATCGTTGAAAAAACAATAATTTATCATCCAAATCTTCTGGAAGTTTTTGTGAAATTTTTGTATGCCAATGAAGAGAAAAATCATATCAATGTAAAAATCTATAGAACCAATGATCGGATGCTAAAAAAATTACTAGAATTTGGATATTTTTCATTAAATTCATTTTCTAACAAATATTTCATTTGTGTCTTAACATTATTAGCTGTTACGCAAAATGCATTCTGCCGTAATTCAAGAATCCATTGTTTTAAAACAATTTCGACATCTGGATAGTGTGGATGGCAACCGGTACCAATTTTTCGAGCTTTTGAATGTGCAGTTTTCAACTTTTCTTCTTCTTTTTTCCAACGTAAAACCATAGAATGATCGATATTATATTTCCTCGCTGCTGTTCTTATACCAGTTTTTTTTGCATAAGTAACAACATTTAATTTTTCTTTTGCTATATAAGAATTTTGGATTGAACGATTTATTAATTTTTTTTTAGGTATTTTTTCACTCAAATCAGAAAAAAAGTTATGGAAAAATTTTTATTGACAGGTATTTAGAACTTTGCTTTCGAGTTAAATCGCTTCCAAATTGATCATTAATTACACGTTCAGATCAATATTTTCTTGTTTCCATGTGGTATCATCAGGAAATTTTTTTGGTGGAGATCTTCAGAGATCTCCACCTATAAAAAAATTTTCGAAAATTTCTGGAAAAAACTTTGAAAATCTTTAAAATTCTTGAAAATTTCTAAAATAAAAAATTTTAATAATAAAAAAACTTCAAAAATTTTTTATTCTAAAAATCTTCGAAGATATATAATAATATTAAAATAAATAATTATTTAATAAATATTCATTACTTTTACCAAATCTTGGAATTATGTGAACTAAATTATCTATTGCTCTTATATCTACTAAGTTATATATATCTGTTAATTTAAGATATGCGCATTCATACATATATGGAGTTTTTTTCGATTTAAAATTATACCACTGTACTAATACTAATTGTAGTGGAGGTCTTTGAAATATTTCGCTTATCTTTATTATTAATAAAACCTAAAATATTTATATATTAGTTTTAAATAAAATAAATTTATATTTTAAATAATTATAATTACCTTTCCATAACAAATTCCATCATCAGTCATATAGTTACATAATTCTTCGGAGTTCATTTTAATTGATATATTACTAAACCATGAGGTGTTATGATATTTATTAGTTGCTCGAACAATTCCACCATTCTCTATTATAACTGTTCCAAATATTGTTAATATAAAATTATTTATTAAAATATTTAAAGAATTAAAGTATGATTTTAAAATACTCTCAAGATTTTTAAATCCTCAGATATGATTTTCATTTTCTTTTGAAAGAATTTGAAGTACTTTATCTATCGAATTATTTAAATTTTTTGATTTAAATTCCCATAATTTATTTGAAATATAAATACTATTGGAAATTGTTCGACCTTTAAAGCTTTCTGAAATTTTATTAATTATTATTTTTTTTCGATTCTAAAAATATATAATATTATTAAATTTTTCGAAAATTTATTAATTTATTTAAATACATACATTTTGCATTAGTTACTCTTCAATATTTTTTTTATTACTTAAACGATATGGTTGTTTAATATGTTCCTTGTGAAGACTTTAATAGGTTTCTGTAGTGAATCCATTAATTACTCCATATTTCGAATAAATAAAATTATATGATATATCCATAAGTATAATTTCGAAAGTTTTAATTGTGAAACTGAAAATCTTTTAAATATTTTTATAAATTTCTGTGCCTATATATTTATAGACTCCTATAAAAATATATAATTTAATTATTTTTATAACTATTTTTATAATATAATTTAATAAACAATTACCACATACCTCAAATTTTTTTAAATCGCTTTTAGAGAACTCCTCATATCTACTAATTATGTATATTTTATTCCATTCTTGATAAATAATTGGTAATTCTTTAATGTCTGTATTCTGTATATTTTCGTTATATATATTATCCACTACAAAAATCATAACTTTCAATAGATTTTTATATTCATCTGCAGTTACAGTACTGGTCAAAAGTAAGCTACCACCCCTTAAAAAATTCAAATCTAAATCAATTGTTTTAAAAATGTTAGGACAAATAGTTTATCACAATTCTTGATCCTCTAAATTTTTTCAGGTTTTTGTAATT